TTATTTTGTGGAGTGTGTTCTATTTTATTTTTGTCATTGGTTTGTGCTTTGTTTCATGCTTTGAAATGATTGAATGTATTTGGGGGAGTTGGGTTGGGTGGGGAGGGGGTTTGGATGCGGGAGTTCTGGTTATGCCTTGTGAATGCTGAAAAGCGGCAAATGAAGTTTTCTGTTCATTCATTCAAAAAAGATATGCGCAACCTGTTCTTTCAGCATAAAACTTTGATGAAATCCTATTGAGAAAGACATGCTACTCATGCTTATTAGTGACTCTTAGAGCTGCAATACAGTCAATCCCCACACAATTGACATAACTTTTTGGCTTCCTTTGGGAAAAAAGTTCCCTTCACACACAATGAGGATTAAATTATAACATATGAAACCCTTTACTCAAAATAAAAAAAAAAAAATTTTACTTTGAGGAAGATGAAAGCACTAGGACTCTCACCTCCAGGAATTGAAGCAAAAAGGATCTTCAAACTGAAGTAAAATGGCAAACAGTCTACGTAGTATCCCATGCAAGGAAAAGTGTTAGTGGGAGGATATAACGGCACTTTTGGAATAAAGAATCGCCCAAAACCGAGCAAAATTTCATAGACAGCCACGTAACGAACGAAAGTCATGTCTTGAAAATCCGGAAATTCGTGACAAGAGTCATTTCCGACTCTCTTTTCAATATAGGGATGGAAAATCTGAACGATGATATACAGCCCAATGTGAATGCCGAAACCGGTGCCAAACAGGCATGTCAAGTGTCCCAGCGTGACCAGAACCCTGTTTCAAATGCAAAAATATTTCAGAAATCATTACCATCAGGCATGATTTAATTTCAGAGGAAAGAAGATTCACATTGCAGTCTGTGACTCATCATTGAAGAAACCCGATGTGCATTCCAAGACCGACCCAGCCACTACGATTGCAGAACTGACGAGAAGCCAACTGAATTTGGATGATGCAAAAAAAATATCACATTTTTGCTTCAGTGAAATTTCATAAAAGAGTCTAAAACGCAGTTCTTAAATATTTTCTCAAGGTTCTCTTTTTCATTTACAAAAAAAGTATAAAAGCAAAGCCATCACTCGAGTGTGGAAAAAAGCCTTCTTTATGATACAGTAGTAGAATTCCATTATAACATATGTTGCTACTTTTTCATTATGGCAATGTTTTTCTGGGTCCTGGCAATTTCCTGTAGGCATAATATGTTATAAAAAATCTCATTTCAACAAAATACTTTTAGGCAGCACAGTAATCTCAATGTATCACCTTTTTGGCCATGATTCTGTGCATATAGGCCATATAGGAATTATTCATTAATCAGCAGAACAATTAGAAAACAAAGGTGCAGCATTCCAACTTCATGAAAAAGAAAGCTGTCTGCAGTGATGAGTGCTCAAAAAAAATGTGCTGTGAGAAAATTAAATGATGACACTCCAAAGTTTGAGGAGGCTGAAGCAAGAATGAAGATTAAATGTAGATTCTCTAATTTATTTTACTTAAAGATATACCATAGAGAGTAAAAATAAGTTGAGAAACTTGAGTACATGGGCTGTGGCCAGGACTGCATTGTAACTGTATTCCTCCACTATTCCACTATTTACAATATTCCACTCAATTCACAGCCCTCTTAAAAGGATACATTAGTTTGCGCATCACCAGAGCACCTTTTCTTCTTATGTCCAGCATTTCATATGGATAGAAACAAGCTTAAGATAGATTTACAAGTATTGGAATTCAATGAAGAGACCCTTTCTGAAATCGTAAAGGATCAAGATAAACTGTTGGCCTTATATGATTTCTCATCAAAGATTCTCTGGATAAATTATTCATTCAACTAAACCTTCATCTGGAAACAAGCTG